AGCTTTCCTGCTTGAGGATCCAAAGTAGCTTCAGCTTTGTGCTCATCAATGATAAAGGATTTGTGTTTGTCTCTCTCCATGAATGTATGTTTGTGCAAGTGTTGAGTGTCTGTTTATTCTGTAATATGTTTGGAACTTCCATCTAAATTTGACCATTTTTCTCAAGACATCTTTAGAGCTTTGGAGTTAGTTTTCCATAAGCTGTTGTTTGACTGTAGAGGTATTTTTTTTTTCCTTCTGTGGTGAGTTGATGCATTTTTTGTTTAACTGCATGGCTTTCCATCTCTAATATAGTACAGGGTTTATTAGGGGCTGGGGAGCCCACTGCAACCAGAGTACTTTTATAGGGTGAACTTTTATTTGAGGGAAAGGTTCGCCAGAAAAGAAAAGTTAGACTATGCCCAGTTAGATCCTTTCAGTTTGCACACAGGAAGAGATATAAATCTTTTCTTGTTTATAGAAACCAAAGACTTGGAAAGACCCACAACAAAGTTATTAGGCAAAACAAAACGGATATCTAATTTGTCAGCCTCTCTGGACACAACTGGATTTTAGGGGGAAATGTATTCCATGTGTGACCTTTATTTAGAAATTCATTCTCTCTGGCTGTTTACTCCAGACATTCAAATTACAATATTTTAGGGCTGCTTCTGTGATACTGGCTTATCATTGGGAAAACATTAAATGGTTTCCATTGTTTTTTTTTTTTTTTTTAATCACAGAACCATGTAAAAGCTTGACAAAAACAAATCTAAATAAAATGTTAAAAAGGGGAAAGCTCGAGAAATGGTACAATGTAACTTTCTTTCATTGCCTCTGGTGTGTTCTGGAAGAATTAGGCTCTGCTTTAAATCTAGAATAGTACTTTACAGTGCCTCATAAACATTCTATTCTTATGAAAAGACCCATTTGTCTGAAGGAAAAGATTCTTATTATGATCTCACCTTAAACCTGAATGAATGTTCTACTCTGTATTTTTAAATTAAATTTTGACTTGGAAGAGGCCACAAATAAAGCTTGTTGAAACACAGCTGTGAAGCTAGGGGCGAGCCAGAGCTTGAAACTCTTTGATCTTGACAGTGTTGTTTAATTGTTGTGAACCTTGATTTCTCCTCAATTTTATAAGCGTAATAGATCTTTTGTGATGCTAAAGATAATGTACACATGAACCAAACAAGTTGTTTTCTGTTTATACCTCACCTTATAAAAACAGCTCTATGGGATTGAGAGGGTGGTTGAAATGGTTTTATTAAAATTCGGGTCAACTAGCCCATATGAAATTACACTAAAATGACACTTTAAATGGGTGGATGATTGTTTTTCAATGTTGGTGAAACAGAGGAAGAAACTGAGGTCATAGGCCAATTGCTCGTGCACATGGGATACACTGGCCTAAGGTTTGGGAGCTGAGCTATGGATCCAGGCATGGAGAGGCAGATGTGGAAGTGCAGTGTTATCTACAATCGTGTTACTTCTCATAACAGGATGTGTTTGTGCAAAGGTCTCCATAGCAGTTGGGATTTATCAGTTATTAGTAATTCTCTTCACTGGCACAGGATGAGCTTGTTGGAAACCTATAAGAGAATATTCAGCATAGAGCATTGACACAACTTCATTAGGTCTCTGGCCAACATTTTCAATCCCACTCATCCCCACCCATCTCCAGCTCTGCCATCCACCTCCTCAGCAAGAACACAGAGGGAAGTCATTACTGTGGCTCATTCTCTGTGACTCAGAGTTGTTCACAGTGACTCAGTCATTTCTATGGAGATAGACCAGTCTAACAGGTATGATTAGTTTTTCAGACATTAGGGTATTTGGGGAAATGGGAAAGAACTCATTCTTTCGGTAGTCCACACCTTCCTCTTACACATATCAGAACTTAGGGTTAGGCATCGTGACTCAAGCCTCTAGCTATTTGGAAAGTGGAGAGATGCAGAATGTAGTTTTAGACCAGGCTGGGAAAAAAAACCCCAAAAAACAAAACAAAAAAGTCCATCTTGAACAATGGCTGACTGTGGTGGTCTGTACTTGTTATCTTAGCAACTTGGGGGAAACACAAATAGGAGGACTACAGTCTAGGCTGGCCCTAGCATAAACCAAGAGACTCTATCTCAAAACAATCAACATGAAAAAGTCTGGCACAGTGAAGTGGAAGAGCACTTGCCTAGCTAGCCTGAGGCTCTGACCTCAGTGTCTACTACTGTCCCAAATATATATTCATATGTATTAGAATGTTGATATTATTTTGGGTAGCCTGTCTGCCTCTAATATCAATAGTCTTACAAGAGGAGTTTGATTAATAATAGTGTATTTATGGGTTTGAAACATTATTTTTGGTTTGGACAGCCTAAAGTCAAAATAACATTTTTGCTTTTGGCAGATAATTATGGGATAATTTATATCTAAATATTCCTTTGCTGAATTAATTATGTAGAGCTTAAAAAATCCTCTTAGGTTTAAGATGCATTTTTTCATTTGGAGGTGTTACATAAAATGTAAGTCTACTGCTGAAAATTATACTTCATAAAACCAGTAGTAAAAAAAAATAAGTACCGTTGGTCTTCAATTTTTCATCTAAAATAACAAATTGCTCTCTAAACTTGGCACCTTGAACTTTCTACTAACAAAAGTGGTTTTTAAATAACAAACATGATAAATTGTACAGATCTCTAGATACTAACACACAGTGGGACCAAAGGAGGTTACTCTTAGGAGAGAAATACAAAGGTACACTGCCAGTGTGCATCTGATCATATAACATTTATTGAAATGAACTCTAGGAAGTGGAAAGGAGAGGTTTTATTCTTTGTTGCTGTTTACGTTTTCTTTCCTTTTTGTCTTATTTGTTCATTCATTTGTCTTTGTGAGGACAAAGGAGGGCAGAGAAATGGTAAGACCACAGGTGCAGCAGTGGTGCTCGCTGGATACTATGTAGAAAATGAACTATATAGCTTATGGGTGGACACAGGAGGGAAAACTGGGAGAGAGCAAGGGAAGGCATGACATTCTCCAAAAAGAAATGTACTCATTACCCAACTTATGTAACTGTAATCCCTACGTATATCGCCTTTATAAACACAATAAAGATGCATGAAAAATGTGTTTTTTCTTTTGGTAAAACGTGACTGATGACATACGTCTTCTGCACTAAAAACTTGCTCATGCAAATGTATAGACTTTTTTTAAAACAGATACAAAAAATGTTCAAAGTGCTTCTATGCTTGAAAATCCTAACAGGAGAGGTTCAAATGCACACAGCTTTATTTGTATGTTTGATTTGATGAGTGTGTTTTCTGCCTTTGTGAAAGGCACCATTACCACACAGTAGGAGGCTTTAAATCTGCCACAGGGAACCTTCTCTGTAATATTCCCATCTTGGCCTGCAGAGGGTGTGCTTTTCCTTTCTTTCTTCTTGGCAGTAGCAGGTATTGACCCCAAGGCCTCATGCTTGCTAGACAAGCACTCAGCTGTTTGAGATACAACACCCCCCCCCCCCCCCCCCCCCGGTCCTTTTGTGTTTGTTTTTGAGACAGGATCTTGTGCTTTTGCCAAGGCTGGCTGGCTTTACATGGTGAAGCTCCTAAGTAGCTGGGAATACAAATGCATACAGGTCACCTGGTTCAGAAGGTAACTTCTGCCAACCCCAGAATGATAAGGAATAGTGGATCTTGCCTGCTCTGGTTTGTGTCCTGCTGAACTCACGCTGCAATTTAGTTTACCACTATTCATAATGGTGAGAGATGTGGGACTTTTATAGAGTGAATATGTCCATCAATGGGATTGCAGTCCTTTTTCTGGACTGTGTCAATTCCCGGGGAAAGAAAAACATCCTCACCTTGACGAGACTGGCTTCATTCCTGTGAGAGAAGTTTGCCATCATGTGAGGCTGGGTCTGTTCTGCCCGGGCATTTTTGGCTATTTGCCTTGAAGCCTGGTTCCTTCCCCAGTGAAGGCAGAATCCACACTACCACCAGGCTCTTGGGTTTCTCAGCCTCCCAAACTGTGATTCGGATAAGCCTCTATCCTGCATGAATCCTCCACACTCAGATGTTACTATAGCAACAGAAGATGGACCAAGACACCAAAAAGCAGGTAGCATCTTCCTTGAGAAACACCCTGGGTCTCACAGAGCTGAGGAAGGAAATCCAGGGGTCCCTTTGTCTGCTGAGGAGGAGGAGAGGGCCTATGAAACAGCAGGAACTCAGGTCACCCCCTTTATTGCATCCATTTTGCCTGGTGTTCGCTTGGCCAGGACCCCAGAGAACAGAACTTGTCTTTCTGGCTCTGTGTGCCACCTCAGTTCTAAGTCATGCTGTCCACTCCAGTGCTGACTGAAAGCCACATTTTAGGTTAGTGGGTGCTTTCTTGTCTCCTTATGAAATGGACGCATTCCCCCTTTCCTTATGGATGCTCACATTTGTATCATCAGTCAGAATTCATTATCACAGGCTTGAAGAAGACAGCTGAGTGGTGGTGTGGATTCTGAGGGGTAATATTAAAGAGGACTAAAAAGACTTCTACATGTGGATGTGTTTAAAATTGTCTAAAACATCAGGAAGGAAGTGGGTACTTGAAATGAGTGGGGTGGAGTCAAGGGGAAAAGGGATGAAGAAGACAAGGAGGATGCAGCAAAACATTCAGTGGATATCTTACAAAACTAAGATGCGTGAGGGAAGGGGTGGGTAAGAGGGATGGGTGTGCTGTTGAAAAGGGTGACATCGATGGAGACATTCATAGACTGTTTTGTTAAATGGCAACTCCCAACTCCTTTGTGCAACTACTTAAGGATAGGAAAAAGAAGAATTAAAAAAAGTCAATGCATTTTGATGAGCAAGTTCTTTTTTTTTTTTTCTTCTAGCTTCGGAAAAAGTCAAAGCTCAAAGCAAAATCAAGCCAGAATTTGGTCTTTCTTGATATCCCCTAACATTATGCATATGAATGTAAAAATCTTTTGTTCAGCTAATTGTCCAAAACAAAAAGGAGAGAAGACCACACAATCCTTTTAAATGCTTCTTTTATTTCATTGGTTGTACATTGGGTGAGTGAACTGAATATTACAACCAAAACATAGAATTGATACAAATTAGACTCCTGCTTACACTGTAAGATAGAACTAAGGAGAAAATTTTGAAGTGTTACAGAAAGATTTAGTAGAAATGTTACCAGTGGCATATGGCTGAAAGAATATTTCCATGAAGTGCTGTTATTTCCTGAAAACCAAGAGTGAAATGTGACTCCCATACAAGTGGACGTTAGTCTCTACAGTATTTGTTGAATTGATATATTCATGTCTTGGATATTGGTGATTTTTTGTTTTTGTAATTAAACAAAGCATTTAAGATTTATTCATCATAGTCAGACTTCTGAATATAAACAAACTTTTGGCAAATAATATTTATACAGAAAAATAGTTTTAGATCCTCTCAAATCCCAGAATTATTCTATAAAATTACATTATAAATAAATAAAAAGCAAAATCTGTTGTACATATATTTGTACATCTATGCATTTGCCTTGCCTCCTTCTTACTGTAAATGGCATATTTATGACTCTTTGCATATTATAATCACAATTCTGGAAAATGGATATCGTAGTAAAAAATACAGTCATCTATATTCGCTTGGGGATACAAGTGATGTTTTTGATGCTCCCTTATTAAAGGGCTGAAAATAGTTGTGTGCTAGTAATTAAAAAAATTAAAGTAATGAAATGAAAGGAAAAAAAGAGACAATGTTACAACAATTAGTCTACAAAAATATTTCAATGATTCCTGTAATTTACTTCTTAGTAATGTATACTATGTTTTAGGTGAGGTTAAATGTATAAACAAAGAAAAAGTAAAAGAAAAAAGGAAACAAGTTTGAATGTTTAGGCAAGTTGTAGCGTAACTACATTGTTATAGCTGAGAAAATTACAAATATCAATAATACATAAAGATGAGACTATCAAAGGAATACAAGTTAGATACAATACCTTTCCACAAATTAAAAACAAACTCAACAATACAAGCACTAGGTAAGATTACAATTAGAATGTGATTTTCTTTTGATAGGATTATCAGATCTACTATATAAGACAAATAGATAGTAATTGGACTTTGACCAACATGAATTAAAATGCAGATTTCTTTTTTTTCTCAAACCAAAAAAAAAAAAAAAAAGACATGGTTGATGCATCTAGTTTTCAGAGTAGGCGATGATGCCAAAATTTAAAATATTTTACATTCAATCTCAAAAGTCAAAATACTTCAATCACTAAAATGTTCACAAAGAAAATGGATGTTTTAAACAATTACAAGTAATATCCATTTATAACAGCTGTTGTGTTTCTTAAACAATAATTTAAAAACTATGTAGGTACTGTATAGGCTATGTGCAACATATAAAATGTGAAATATGAAATATTTGGTACGATAGTGCTTAAAATAAACTTTAAAACAAACTTTCTGAACAAAATTTAATTGTATCGCTATTACCTTGAAGATCAACCAAGTATTTAAAAAAGTAAACAACATTAAAATATGTTTTATCCATATATAGTATATATGTATGTGTATATATAATATGTATGTACTTGTATTAAAGTTTTTTATACTTTTGAGACATAAAATATGCTTTAAGTGAAAGAATTAAAAGAACTAGTTTTTTTTCTCCATGCGGTAGTTAGTTACAACCCTTTATCCAACTTTTGAAATGCAAAAACAGTAATGGATTTTTTTAAAAAGTGAAAACTATCTACTTTTTTTGTTTACATAGTAATTTAGATTAAAGTCACAGTTGGATTTGCAGTGACTAAACTCAAACTTACTTAAATTAGAATATTATACAGATCTCCTCACCTACAGCTTCCTTGTTTGACTAGGTTTCTATTAGAAGAGTTATTCTGTAACAGGCAACTGGATGGTGAGTTTGAAAGGCTAATCCTTGAGATTAAACTGTTGGCTTGGGCCTCTCATTCTTGTCAAGCTGGATGAAGTCTGGCAAAATCTAGGCACTTCTACAAAGTCTCTCTTATAAAACAACTTTAAAAATATACTTGTAAAATAATACCTTCAAGACTTTGTTGGGTGGGGTATGAAGCTCATACCGTGCAAAGTTTCATTTTCAATCTATTTAATGTTATTCTAGAATCATAGGATTCAATGCGGCATCTCCAGGCTAACCAAATCCCACACTTGGATGTGTCCCAGTACTTGTGCTTGAACTTGCATTCGATTTTAGACCTGCAGGAGCAGGTATCTGTTTTACTTCACTTCTTATCTTTGCTGCAGCGTGCATTCCATCAAGAAGTGAAAGATTCCCCTTTGATTCCGTGAGTAAACGATATGATAGTGATTCGAGTTAGAATTGAACCTGCCCTTGGAATAGGTGTTTCTTTTTTTAAACTAATGCTAATCATTTATTGCTAAATTTGAAATATTCTGAATCGAAATGAGTCCTATTGGCTGGGCTTTTTGCTATAGTTATGGAGATAAGACAATATTCCTAGGACAGAAACTATGTTTAGAAACTCTTTTAAAAGTAAACTGTATCCTTTTATGTCCTTAAACATCACAGCTGGTCTCAGGTAGTTAACTATCTTAGGTTGGAATATACTAAGCATACCATATTTAATACTCATATATGGATATAGCAGCACTACTTCTTAGAGTTCTGATCTGTCCAGAAGAACTAAATCTTTATTTAGCATGCAGTTTGTGGCAATTCTATGGAGGAGGAAACAGGATAGTATGTACAGTAACAATGTTTAGTTATTCTCAATGCGGATTCTTGGCATTCCATTCCGTTTCTGCTGATTATTTCAGAATTATCTGTTAAAGAAAAAGACAAGCAAGATTAGGACACCTTCTGGGAAGGAAGAGAATGAGTTTAACGTTCACTCTTTTTTTTTTTTTTTTGCAAGCAGCCATTTGAAAGGGAGAACTTTCTCCCATTTTCTTATAATTTGGATGTGATTCTATTTTTGCCCAATCTCCATCGTTCATACTGAAAAAATTTTACACTCAGCCACTTCTGCTATGTGGCCACCGTAGAGAATGACAATGCACAGTTTCCTGTAAGGTTGCAACAGGACACACATAGTCATGCAGTCTGGTTAGGTCTTATTCTCTTCCTAAGCAACCTTTTGCTTCATCTCCCTTGGTTATATTCCTCCATTGTTATCCAGCTAATATTTGCTATGGTGATCAAGAAGTCTGGCTGGAGGATTTGTCTGCACTTGTAAAGCTCTTTGTAAACTAAGACATAAATATTTGCAATGTATCACTAGTCAGATATTATTCATCTATTGACTTAGAATTCAGAGATACAGTCCCATCAATGGAAATTTGTTCCCCAAATATAACAACAACCAGTTTCAAATTCAAAGCACATCTGAATGTCACTTATTAAAAGGGAAAGATGAATACCAATCTAATCAAGCATTTAAAATATTCTTAATAAAACTAAAGCACTGATAAAGCATAGGCAAGGCTAACCAAAAACAACTGTGATTCCTCTGGTCTGACTGCCAAGTTCATTTCCTATTCCAAGCGTTTACAAAGAACAGAGTTTGGCCTATTTGAGCTACTCCATTAGGTGCCACATTAAATGCCAAGTTTTGAAGATATTCTAACAAGAACACTTATTCTTGCCACAATGTTTTGACTAAACTTTGTGTAACTAATAAATTAAAATGTATTTACTAAACTATCCAAGGGTCTTTGTTTAGAAAATAACTGATAAAAATTCTTTGGGAGTAATGATCTAAAAATATTCTTAGACATGGGAATTCAATTTCCAGGAAAAGCTTCATTTCTAAAACTACAATTTATTATACCATTATGTCAAAAAATTCATACAAGTGGTATTTTCCCCCTCTGAATGAGACGCCTGAAGTTTAGAAGCCATAGTTTTAGCACACTCCAATGGTTTTACCCATGAAGTAAATAAGCACATTCTTTATTTCACAGAAACGTACTGATGTGTAGACAGCTGATAAAAATGCAAGAACTTACATTAAATATTTATACCAACTGAAAGCAGAAAACTAGTATTGAGATCATTCTTAAAAAAAAAAAATTCTTGGAATTTAAAGCTACCTAGGGAAAAATGCCATTCCTTAATGCACATACAGATAGGAACAAAATAATGTATAATATATACATGTAAATATGATTACAGTTCTAGTATGTAGATACTATTATCACATAACTTTGCATATTATTGTTGTAATTTATGTTGGTCAAACGGTCAGTTTATCACTTTAGTTTTTTTTGGTCCTGGGCGCTGTCCCTCAGCTCTTCAGTCAAGGCTAGCACTCTACCACTAGAGCCACAGCACTACTTCCTGTTTTTTCTGCTAATGTGGTGCTGAGGAATCAAACCCAGGGCCTCATGCTTGCAAGGCAAGCACTCTACCACTAGAGCCAACTTCCCAGCCCCTTAATTTTATGTTTGAATATTTGATTATTATTTTTTTTGGTCAGTATTGGAGTTTGAACTGAGAGCCTTGAATTTGCTTGTCAGGTAATCTACCACTTAAGCCTTGCCTCTAGCTTAGCTTTTTGCTGGTCATTTTGGAGATAGGGTCTTATAGACTTTTCTGCCTAGGCTGGAATTGAACTGTGATCCTCCAGATCTCAGCCTCCTGAGTAACTAGGATTCCCGGCGTGATCTACAGACAACTGTTCTATTTCATTCTTGTGCTTCAGTACTATTGGTAAGCTTTTCAAACAAAAATATGCCTAAGATATAAAATCATGTCCCAGCTTTCTATTTTCTCCTATTTTAGCAAGAATTTCTCTGAAATACTTATGGAAAAAATCCTGTCATTTCTTAAGTTGATAATATAATAGTGAATACTTAAAAATATATTTGCATTGTTGCAAAATGCCAAAATGCCACTTAGAGAATGAAATTTTGAACCACCTGGAAAGAAAAGCACCCTCACAAAAAGCCAGCCAACGGGCAAATCATAATTTGCATTATGGAAATGAATTCCAATGCACTGAACTTGTATTCAACTAAGAGCCATTATGATCACTGAGTTTTAAGTGCATTGAAAATCAGGTCTGAGGTTACCTGGCTATTTTACCAGGATGGGTCTGCCCATCTGCCACTGTCTTCTACACCCAATAGATGGATAAGGACAGACAGACATGAGCTGTGGTGCTGCTCAACTTGAGGCTATCACTGTTGCCTGGTACCTGGGCCTAAACACTCTGTCTACCCTGGCCTAGTCTCTGGCTTCCTTATGGCTTATACACATGGTATGGAAAAACAACTATACTCCCAGATGGTGTGATGAACTGTAAGTAGTTTATGGGATTTGATTTTAGGAGATGGATAAAGCTTTGAGCGTTTCTCCTTAGAATGACCAATTTTGGGGCAGCAACATTTTGTCTTACAAATATTCATTTTTCTTTCAGAGAAGAATAACTTGTGGGTACAGTTTGAATTATGTGCACTCTGGGATCAAATATACCCTGGAAACAGACCACATGAGAATCCACATGAAGACCAGTTGCCAATGGATGCTTCTTATTTAACTATAGCCTCTTTGATTGACACCTGTGATGGCAGACAGGACCCCAGGGGAGCATGTGACTGATCTGGTTGGTGTGGAAGAGACAGAGGGGGAGATATGACAGGGGGTCCTGTGAAACTGCTAGTCTTGAGTGGCCAATTACATCCCACCCAGGGTGCCTCCCAGTGGATGCTAAAAGGATATTTGCTCACAGCAATACACCATCCCATCTAACCAGAGCACCACTGTTCCAGAGGTTAAGAAACATCAGCTCGAGAAGTCACGGCAATACAAAGAGAATCCAATGTAATGGGCAGGGTGCATTCTCTATCTGTCTCATTAATGGACTATCCTCTTAAGCAAGTAGTATTTTATGTCATAGAAAACATGACAGAAAATGGAGGTTAAATTCTTAAGATTCTAGCCAATCCTGTATGGTGAACCAGAATTCTGAATGGAAAGCTTTGTTTTCAACTCCTTTTTCCACTGTAGGAGAATACATAAAAATGAGAAGAGCTGATGCCCACAAAATCCACCATTCTATTTATAAAGTAAAGGCACACGTGATCTCAAATCAGAAGTGGCCTCCAAAGTTTCCAGTGGCCTCTCTGGTTGTAACAGGAATATTTGTGACCTTAAAGTATCAGTTGGTTATAGGAGAGCCTACTTATTCATATGGAAAAGAACTCATGCCAAAGGAATGAAACTATCTTTCCAAAGCAGTTGGATTTAAGAAGCTAGTGATTCTGCTTAGTATATAGTCTTGTTACTTCTTTGTGAACCTAGTCTATGATTAGTGTCATATTTATTTGTTGAAAAACAAGCACAAATGGTTCCCAAGAAAAACAGATGATCTTAGCAGATGCGTTAGTAACAGCCATTTAATAATTCCCAGTCTCTGTGAATCATGAATAGCCAATGGCAGCTAAAACTTACTGGCCAGGTGCTAGTGGCTCATGACTGTAATACTACTCGGGAGGCTGAGATCTGAGGATTGTGGTTTGAAGCCAGCCCTGGAAGAAAAGCCTGTGAGATTCTTCTCTCCCATTGATCAGCAAAAAAGCTAGAAGTAGAGCTGTGGCTCAAGTAGTAGAGTGCCAGCCTTGAATAAAAACAGCCAGGCAAGAGCACCAGGCCCTGAGTTCAAGCTATAGTATTGGCACACACACATACCCAGAAGGAAGAAACGGTCTGAGTTACAAATCTGTAAATAATAAGCCTACTAGGTCGAGGTAGGAAATGATCATAAATGTGAGGGTTAGAGAGAGAGGTGACAGCGTCTACTCAGCTCCAGCTAGTTGCTACTTGAAAAATATCCAGGTTCCATCTTGTTTAGACTTCCACTTTGCAAAAGAAGGTGGAATTTCAGCAATTAATTCATCCAACTGTCTCCGGGCTGATTTTGACCATGAGCTGCTCATGTGTGTATACATCAGCCTCACCTCCTCACAGAAGATAGCATCGGGACTGGATCATTGTTCTTGAATCAAGCATCAGTTTGAATTGTAGCAATATATAAGGAGGCAGGGGTGGGAGAGTGAGTGGGATCAGGAGAGAAGGCCCGCTAGGTAGTTAGTTCTGCAACTTTCAGACATTTGGATTTCACTCCAAGGAACAGGGCACTTAGCCAAAAGACACCCACTCCCTACAAAGAAAATACCATCATCTCTCCCTTGACTGAGTCATCAGTTATGAAATATGCATGCTGTCTTGTCTCTTCCCTAATGATGATGGATTTAGGTTGAGCCATCCATCATCATCCGAAAGAGAGAGAGAATGGAGTGGGGGAGGAGAGAAATGATCTTGGTCAAAGGCAAAATAGCCTGTGTAGAAACGGAACCATTGGACTCGAACTCACCAGCACTATGAACTTAACGGTTGAACTAGCCAGGCCTCATGAACAAGTATAAAAGAAGGTAAACTAATATAGGGTTTCTTTTGTATTTCAGGACTACCAAGTATTAATATTTCTGACTCTGCTGCTGTGTGGTCTATCTCCAGGGACTTACTTTGGAAACTGAGTTTCTAAGTGGCTTCTAGAAATGTTTATTCTTCTTCTGTAAAAGGGCCCATTGCAAAGATGCAGCGGTGATGTCAGATGACTCATCTTTTAATTAAATAATTCAATCCATTAGAATACTGTTCTTTGATAAGGGAAAACATTTCAATGAAAGGACCATTTGTTCCTCTATATCCAAACCATGAAAACAAATAGAAAAAAGGAATGAGGGGTGTTTTGGTTAAATCTTTTAGTGAACAGCTATCCAATACTGCCTTTGTAATGCTGACTTCTCAGAGATGCATA